AATAAACAACTTTCAGACAAATTCCCATTCAGGACTGACTTGTGGGAAATCACCCCACTCAGGACAGAAAGAGAAGAAAAAGGGAGGGAGCAATGTGCCTGGTCTTCATGTAACTGGAACCAGTGATGCAATGTGCAGAAGTTGTTATGAGTGATATTTAAAGTGCGTCTTGATGAAATAATTCCTTTTGTTAGCAATAGAGTCATTCAAAATGATCCCTGCAGTCAGATCACTCTCCCTCACTTGCATTGTTGTGTTTTATGAGTGGGGAGAGGGAGCATCTTGTTTGCAGAGGTTTGACCGTGACCCACAAGTATATTACACCAAATCTATATACCGGTGAGGAGGTTAAGGTTCTTGCCTGGACACATAGGCCATCATGCGTTGAGACATCCCGGATTGGGTCCCTGGGAATTTTGGCTTTGTCCTTGCACAAACTAAGTTCACAGTAGCAAGGCCTGTGTTCTCAGGCTTCTCCAGACACATGTGAGTGGCACACCTTCCTCCCACCAGGAATGTCTTCCATTCTCATCTAATCCCTTCTCCAAGTCTACCTCTTCCAGGAAATTTTCTCAGATTCCTTCCTCTCCCTGTAAAGGGTGGTCCTTTCATTGTAACAGGCTGGTCCTCAGGAAAAGGGGAGGTTCGGATTCCCTGGGGCTAGCCACCCTCACTGTCACCCCCCACTAAGAGGGTGCCACCTATATCCGTCTTGGCTTCAGCCACCAGTCACATCCCCACCCAGACACCCTGAGTTCCCATTCTTTGTTGGGAAACACTTTGTTAGCATTTGGTCTGTTTCCTCTTCTCTTCTAGTGTTACTTCCTAGCCCCCCCCCCAGACAACCCCCAAAACAAACAAAACAAAACAAAACAAAACGGTTGATCAGGGTTGGAGCACATTTGGAGTCTTAGCCGTGGCAGGAGGTGGGACCTGGATTGCCCTTGCTGTCACAGAACTCAGGCCCTGGTGGAGAAATAAACTAAAGTGCCTCAGAGCATGGTTCCTCTTAAAATAAAATCTGTGTCAGTGAACCACAAAGGCTGGGACATTTGTCCAGCACACCTGCCTAGACCCATGTGCCTCTCCTCAGGGTCTGGACCTGACTCTCGGACATTGATGGAATTCTGTTCCCTAGAGCCCACCACCACCACAGTGTCCAGAGCCCACGGCCACCTTGCCTGCTTCTGCTAGGCAACTCCTTATGCCCTGGACTGAGTTCAAGTTTATGGTGCCTCTTGATTACTGACACTGGGCCTCTGGTCACCTCTCCCTCGACAAAACTTAAAAGGTTTCTGCTCTCCTTTACAAGACTCCTGAGTTCTAGCCAGCTGGGATGGAACAGGCTTTCTTGGTATCAGTGGTTTTTCTGAGTCTTTCTAGACTCCCTGATTGGATGGTGATGTTCAAAAACAAAGGTTTCTGCCTTAAGTTTTTAACTGCTTGTAAGGTCTTTTGGGGCAGTATTGTCAACGATTTGCGGATTCATTGCAATTTTTCCTTTAGGACTCAAGGACCTGTTACAGTCTCCCTTCATTTACTGATACATTCTCTCTTTATCCATCCAGGGTGACAAAGCAAAAGCCCAAATGCTCTGCATACAATGTCAGGTACCCACAGCCCAATGGGCAGGATGAGCTATAGATTACAGGGCAGGTTGGAAAACACTTGTTTCCCCAATGGCTTTAAGATTCCATTGCTCCTGAATTCTGATATTTTGTCTAGAAAAGGATGTATGACTCCAGAATGTGGTTTTGATTCCTGAAGGATGAAGAATGTATCTGCAATTCCAACTGCCTGAAAGGGGAGTGGCCTGCTGGTGGTGGCTAGAGCCCAGCCTGCAGCTCTCCCAGATGGTGAATTCAAGCTTCAGAAAAAAATGTTGGATGCCTGATGGGGGGAAGGGATGGGCCTCCCAGGAGAGAGAGATTTTCCTAAGGCATGGAGAGACAGATTTCCAATATAGAAGTAGAGACAACCGCAAAAAGCCCAGAAATAAGATGGGGTGGGATATGACCAAGTAGAAAGCCCTGTCGGAGGTCTGTGTTAGAGGACCTCCCCAGGATGTGAGAAAAGGTGTTTTCCTACTTACTTCTGAAGACTTGTTCCTTGTAATTTTTTCCCATGGCCTCTGCTGGGTCAGGAAAGCCAGAATCACCAGTATACACTTGAGGGTGCGTCACAGAAGGCCTTGGGGCTGGGGACTCCTAGGGGAAGACCCACCCTTGACCTTTGCTGTTTCCTGAGCCTGGGGCAGCTGTAGAAGATTTGCCAGGAGCAAATGGGAGGAGACACAACAACTTGCAGGTGGCTTCAATGGAGGAAGCAATAGTAAGGAGGCATCACAAGACTGACTCACATGAGGAGTCTGGGGGCAGACCCCGCTATAGAAACCAAGATCCTTAGGCCCCAATGCCTAGGTTACAAAGCTTAAGACCAAAGTAGGTAGCAGACTGCTGTAGGCTGTGTCTATCACAGACCCAGTAGGTGAAAGGCAAAGATATGGAGATGGAGCCCACTGTGGGATCTCCTGTCCCTTTCAGATTCTACTCAAAGTCAACAAACCTGGCTCACAGAGAGTGGGCCCCTCCCAGAGAGAAGCTGTCTATACCTGGGCAGTCTGTGCACTGGCACAGGCAGCAGTCCTCTGCCCACCTGTTACTATTCAGGCATTTCTTTCCACCCACTCTCTCCCTCTGTGGGGCAGCAGCCTCCTGCCTGCCTGTGTCCTGCACCATGCGGGGACTTCTCTGCACTGACCTCCCTCAGCAGAGACAGCAGTCCTAAGGCCACCTGCCTGCCACTATGCAGGTCTCTCGGCAAGCCTGTCTCTTTGGGGCAGCTCTTGCTGCCTGCTTGTGCCTATGCAAGTGTCCTTTTCTTTCCTGTCCTTTTTTCTAACAAACCTGATTTTTAAATGTAACTGAGTCTCTGTTCTTGGCGAACTTGCCACATGCTGCTAAAAGGGAGCTCTGGTTGAAACCTTTCCCAGAGTGAGCCCAAGGACCCCACACTAACTCCAAATACGATATCAGCTTCATTCAAAAGAGGCCAGAGACAACCTCTTTCTTGAGTAAACCAAAGTGAGCACCTATGGCAAAGGGAAAGCTGAACTTAGGGTAACCCCGTAGCCCTCTGTTGGCTCTGGGACATGCAGAGAAGAGAGACAGCCTCAGAGGCTCGAGCTTATACCCAAGGAACTCTCATCTTGAAAGTGCTGGCTCGAGGGTGATGCTGAACAAGCAAAAGCCTTCTGAGAAACAAGCATCTTCTGAGAGGGGAATGAGCCCTTAAAGGGGCTTCAGGCTGACATCTCAGCGGGGCTGTGGAAACAGCGTGTGCCAAGGCCACAAAGGTGAAGGCCCACGGGCACATGGCAGCCAGGTGTGGTACAGTGGAAAGTGGGGGGCAGAAAGGCAGAGAAGGACCTGATACACTGGCTCCACTGGCTGGAAGTGGTGGGTTTGTAGCCTAAGGCCATCTGCAGCACTTTGCGGACTAGCTGATCCGGGACTTGGTGGAGGAGGCTGTAGTTAGTGGCGGTCTCAGCATCACCTGGGAACATATTAGAGCTGCAAATTAGTATCACCTAGGATCACGTTTTCAATTCCATAATCAAGACACACTGATTTGAAATTGCAACTGTGGGGCCCAGCCAAGTGTTTTGATAGGGCATCTGGGTGAATCTCATGCAGGCCAACGTTCGAGAACCACTGGCTTCATGAAAAGACTATAAAACAAGTAACTCCATTTTATTACCGCATAGCTGAATAAAAAGAATGAGCTTGCTTGAAGTCGAAGTTGCTGAGAGCTTAGTGAGGACATTCTTTGGCTAACATTAGCAGGAAGGTGGGTGGGGCGGGTTGGGGAGGGTGGTGTGAGAAGTTACCTTGGCTGAAGACCTGTGTATGCCTAGCAATGTGTCACGTGAACTTACCAGGAGGGCTGCATATCAGCACCCCTCATTATAGCTCAGAAACAGAGGAGTGAAAGGACTTGCGTCAAATCACACCACAAATGCTAGAGTCAAGGTCTTCACCCAACTTGGCTTGACTCGAAAAGCTCCTTTTCTCTACCACTGTGGTGACCACTGGTGCCACAGACAAGTGACAGTCAGGGTTGAGGCGCCTGACAGCCCATGGTGGCCTGGGTGGAAGGAGATGCCAAAAGCTTGAGGAGATTCCCCAGAGGGCCTGCTTGTGGTCACTCCTGAGGCTCGTAGGGGAGCGAAAGGCCTTCTGCTGTGATTCCTGTCCTCTACTATTTAAACTTCATAAGGTCTGCATTCACACTGGGGTGCTGGGCAAATGTACTTCCCTAAGTGACCAGCTATCACTGCCCACTTTTAGAGCTGATAGGTTGCATGAGAGGCTAAATGAGAAAAGCAGAGTGAAAAATTACCTGTATTCTGTGAACACAACTACCTAGGATTTTCAAAAAAGCACATTAAGAACACAAAGAGGAAAACAAACAGTACTAAAGACATCTTTCCAAGATATGTTATGTGGTTGTCATCATTTGTGTGATGAGAATGCATGTTTTTGAAAGTGTAACCAGTGATACCCATGTGCAATGCATGGACCAGTGGCTAGCTCCCTGCCCTGCCCAGTGGGGGCGGTTGAGCTGCCCCACCTTTTGGGGTCTGTGCCCAAGGCCCGTGAAGACAGCAGTGGGGCATGTGGCCTGGGGAAGCTGTGGGGCATAGTTGACGTCAGAGGTGTTTTTTTTTCCTTGTATCAGAGGTGTTTTTTTCTTGTACCTCATCCAGCCTGAGGTTAAGCCCTTGGGCCTTTCTGGCCTCTGGAAATGCCTCTCCATGACAGCTGTCACCTGGAGAATTTAGGAGGGACTTTGTGGCCTACAGCGTAAGATCTAAGTTGTCTTGCAGACCATCCTGATAACAGTCAACATCTCAGAGAGCAAACTTAGAGGACTGCTTGAGGGCTGGGACAGGAGGCAAGAGGCAGACGCCAGTCTGCAGACAAAGGTCACCAGACACCTTTAAACACAAAATATTCTTTTATTTATCAACGAAGGCTACACGGGATCACTTCTGGTTTTGTTTTTATGCCTTTTTTTTTTTTCTAGAAGGTATCTACATCTGCATTTATTTACAGCCTTGTCGATATTTACACAGTCAAGAATACAGTGTTAGAAACACAAAAGTTGAGAAAAAAACTTCTCAAAATTAGTTCCAGACTTCAGGAAAACTATTTCCACATGGTAAGGCCAGAGTCTCCAGTGTTGGTCATCTAGAGGCAGCTCGGGAGAGTCATTTTGCCGAAGCTGCAGGTTCGGAAGTCTTCAAGATCAGGCAGGTTTAGAAAAGTGAGATTCCGGTGGTGGGTGAATCTGGGCTGCCGGGCACAGCCAGGCACCTGCGACTCAGCTTCTGCCAGGACAGCTGAGCCTGCCCAAAGGTTGGCTTTCCCTCAGCAGCTTGCTCTCAGGATCCATCTCATTTTTCTTGGGGGGCACTAGGCCTCCCAGTTTGATGCCTTTAGCATTCCAGAGGGGGTAAGAAACACAGAATCGGCCACACCCGGGTCTCCCCCCAGTCTGCTCTTCCACATTGCATGTCAAACCTAAGAGCTCACCGCTGTCTGGGGTGGTCAAGCACACAAGGCTGGTTTTTGAAAATGTAAAGGTTGGAGAGGATAAAGTTTCTATCACCTGAGCAATGAATCTTTAAAATGAGTTTGCTGTTATTTGAAGGTTAAATGAAAGGGCCTTGACCTAGAGTTCTTTTTCTGAATCCTTCTTTCCAATAAAATAGAGATAAGTGGATAAACCTAGCTAGGGGTGATGAGCCTTCCATGGAAGGCTTTCGGTCTTAATGAGGACCCCAAGGGAAAGGACAGCTGGGTTCTGTCTGGACCCATCAGTTGGTGGCCCTGTGAGAAGTGGAGAGTGGATTTGACTTCGAGGACTGAGGCCTGCGGAGGCATGTTCCTTCTCTGGGCACAAGGCTCAGCAGCGTCACTGCCTTCACCACATGGCAGCGGCCAACACAAGGTTGCAAGGTGCCTTCTAAGTGGACCGTCCAAAGTTGCCTGTGCACAATGGGAAGCCCAGCTAGCTATAAAGATGGCACTTAAAAGTCACAGCTGAAAGGTTCTTCATTCTCATTTACAAAAATAGATTTGAGTCCTGGTTATGTGTCTGTGTACACATGGCCCAGTCATACTCACCACCTTCCTTGCCTCACCATTATTTGTTCCCAGGTTCACCTCATCCTGATGCATTTACAGCATTCACCCTGGCCATTCTCAACCTCTGTTCATCTCCTCAGGGATGGTTTCAAATCTTCCACCCCTAGGTAGAAAGCAGGTGCTGGTCTGTTCCCTGGGTTAATGCTCAGCCAACAGTCCTGCTCAACCTGAAACAGGTGTAACTTACCACGGACTGCCTTTGTGTTCTCATTATCTTCGCTCTGCCTTCCCACCATGTCTGTGTGGGAACAGGAGATGGAAACCTCATCTTCTAGAGGCAACATCGAACAAGCACTAAAGTCCTGTGTTAGTTGATGACACATGGGCAGAGGATGAGGGGTTGGTGGCAGCTGTGGAGGGTGGGGGAGAAGCAGGAATCATTCTAAAATAAACCTTTATTTTGGGTCAGAGGCTGATATCCTGCAGAACTGTGAACTGATGAGAAAGTGCTGCTTGTTCCACGGACTGGAGACAAGATGGCTGGTTAGTGCCAAAAGGGCTGATGCCTTCAGGGATGGCTTTGCAGCCTGAATTCTCTATGCTAAGCAGGCACAGAGAACTCTGGTTTTTGCCTCAGATTTGCTCTTGCTGGGACACTGGACGGTGGTGTAGGCAAGACAGCCTGAGAATGGAGGCGTGCAGGAAACCACCTTGCCAGGGCCACGCGGCAACAGTCTCTAGAGGAGCAGCACCCACTGCCAGGCGGAACCTAGACCACACCCGAGAGCCTTTCTCTAAAGCGTGAGGATGCTCAGCTTCTCCCTGCACAGAAGCAGGACCTCCCTGGTGGTATGTAGCCCAGAAAAAAATATAAATAACATTTTTTTTTAAACAAATGCTCAATCACTCTCGAAGTTCACATTGTTACTTTGGTGGGGTGGTGGTAGGGGAGGACAGAGTGCTGGGGAGGTGGAGGCAGATGATTCCTTTGGCCCTCACTCAGTCTCTGCCCTCTAAGGACATGTCCCCTGGAGGTTGTGACTGATGTCGGGCATCCAGGGTGGGACCGATGAGCTAGGTCCATGGGCAGGAGAGCTTTGCCCTTCTATTAAGAGTACATTTTAATAAGTCTGTTTTGGATGAGAAACTTGTTTCTTCAGGCCAAACTTTTCTAGCCCATCCAAGAAGATCCTGCTGATGGGAGCCCACTGCCAACTCCCGCCATGCACGGCGAGCTCGAGGGTGCAGCATCTGACTCAGTGGCTTTCTGCACCCAGCGGCTGAAGGCAGTCCGTGGACCAGCAGGCCGAGACTCACTGTCGCAGCAGTGTGACTTTTTTGGAAACAGGAAGAGCACTTAGCGAAACACATCCTCTATCCCAATGGGATGACGTAAGGCGAAACCTTTTCTCCCTCTGCCAGGCAGAACCCAGACCACACACTGCTCCGATTCTCATGCGGTAAGAGACCTTCTTGGTTTCATTAACTCAGGTAATATCCTGAAGACTCTGTGAGTAAGGCTATAAAGGTGCCATGAGCTTATCAGTCCAACAAGGTTTCCACGGGGAATAGCTCAGACTCAGAATTCATTTTCCACACTTAATGTAAATGCAACCCATAAAAGTCCCATTTTTTAAGAAGCCCAGCTCAAAAAGCATTTGGTTTCCCCTCCCGGTCTCCCAGAGCCTCTGCGAGTGGTAACAAAGATGGTAATGAGGCAGATGAGACAGTAGCAAGGACCTAGTTCTTGCTGTTACTCTCCCGCCCTGCCAGGCTTCCTCAGGCCTGGCGGCTGCCATCTGGGCCAGGGCATACCACCAGGCCTGGGCACTACCACTCGAGAGGGCTGAAGCCTCTTCCCAGTGACCTCAGGCCTGGGTCTTCAGGGGACATGGAGCCTGGCATCCGGGGTCCATCGGCACTAGGATGAGCGTCCCCCCATCCTGGTGGGGTTGCAAGACACTGCCAAGCTGCACCAAATGAGTTCTTTCCTCCTTTCTCCTTAGTCTTTCTTTAAAACCCTGGTTAGGCTTCTTTAGAGAGGAAGTGGTTTTAGAAGAACTTCACTGAAAGAAATCTCCTGAAAGCCCATCCAGCTTCCTCCTGACTCTGCAATTAGCTCTCAGGTGGGGAATGGGCAGAGGACCTCGGAGCCACTAAGAAGTATGCTTGGTTCATGCCTTTCTCTCTTTGGCTGGCTTTCTGTTAAGCATCTTTCCAGAATCAAAGGCCACCAGGCATCACACTCCTACACACTTATTTCTCAGTGGTGGCAGCTGAGCAGTGGAGGGAAGATCCCCAAAGTCATGAGAGAGGGTTCCTCCCTGAGGAAGGCAGGCTGGTATCCCGGCCACCACTGCCATCCCTTTGTCAAGGGTGGCCTCCCCTCCCTGGACATGGCGCCCATGCTGAAGGCTGGCTGTGCATGCTGGTTCTCATATTGGACTTTGGGAGAGAGGAGGAGATGAATGAGGAACACCATGGGAGGGTCAACCAACCACAGACATCCTGGGGGGCCTCTGCCTCTTGGAGGGTGGGCTCTTAGCCCCAGGATGTTATGTCACCAGACTGGGGGACAGGGCCTGGGAGACACTTTCTCCATCCAGCAGGGGGGGGGTGACATTGACAACTACGCACGATTTGCAAAAAAGGGGTAGGGGATTGCATTTAGCTTCAAAATGTAAAGCTCAGACAAGAGTTTGGGGCAGTTTGAAAAAGATGCTGAATGACATCATGAAATACCCCAGGGTGAGATGAAGCCATCAGTGGCCCTCCAGCGGCACAGAATGCGGCAAGTAAAAAGCCACTTCCACCAGTTTGCAGAAGCCTAGCCAAAGATCCTCAGGTCCTGCAGACCCTCCTCCCAGGCCCCCTTGGAAGTTTAGTTCTGGACGGTTACTCTCCACACCCCTCACTCCTGCCCAACCCCCATCGAAAAAAGGGTTGCACATGAGACAAGTTAGCACAGACATTCATGTCTCACATCACACTGGGTACCTAGGGACAGACAAGGACACATCCCAGGAAATGAGTCTCAGAGGAGAAAGGTACCCCCAACAACAGGGAAAAATCCTCAAGGGAAAAAGGGAACAAAAGACAATAATGTTTTCATTGTGATCACACTACAGAAAAAAAATACCTTCTGTTCTTTGCAAAAAATGTGTGAAGGCCAAATTTGTGTTTTTCTTTTCTTAAAAAAAAGGATGTTGCATGAATTACAATGCAACTTTGTTTGTTTTCTGCACTTGTTTAAAAAACAACCTTTTTTTTTTCTTTTCTTTCTTTCTTTTTTTTTTTTTTTTAAAGTACAACACAGTCAGGTACGCGGCCACAAAAGAGTAGCTGTCTTTGGCAAGAAGTTCAGGCCGGGGTCCTCTCTGTCACCTTCGGCCCATCTCGCTCTGTCTCATGAAGTGGATGTTGTTGGCGCTGTCTGCCAGTTCTGGGTACTGCTCGACGGAGATCACGAAGAAGCCATCATAGCCTTGCACCCGCCCTGTGTTCAGCACCTGCTGCTTCTCCCCCTCTGTCCAGGCCCGCAGGCCCTCCTCCCCTTCCCGCAGTCTCTGCTGCTCTCGGGCCCATGCCTGGCGCACGGCTCTCTGCCGTGCTAGCTCCAGCACCCGGGCCTTCTCCTCGTCCAACGTCGTTCCGTAGCGAGTGTTCAAGCACAGTGCCCCATACTGGAGCTGGATGTCTGTGTAGCGTCTAGTCCTGCCATTGAGCATCGTGTTGATCTGGGACACAGTGACATTGACCCCGTTCTCCAGGGTCCGCCGTCCCCCACTGAGACCCAGGATGGCCAGGTCGCCTTCGGAAGGCCCTGGCTTTACGAAGTAGTGGGTGTCCACCCCGTCGATGGTGAAGTGCAGGTTCTCTAGGTAGTGGGCATTGTTCAAGATGGCAGCAATCCTCCGCCCGTCCTCGTTAGCCACGCTGATGATGTCTGTGGCCACTCGACCATCCTTCAAGGCAAACTTGACGCCCTTGCCAAAGACTGAGCCACTCGATGCAAACTTCTTTGTCTCTGGGGCTTGCTGGCAGCTGGTGATTGTGGAGCCGTAGAGCTGGTCGAAGCGTTCCAGGGTGACGAAGGCCTTGAGCTGCTTCTGCACTTCACACTGCACTCCAAGGATAGACTGATGGAGGGAAGAGAGAGAGTAAGACAAAGGGGAAAACCCCCAAGGGACTGGGAGAATCAGCTTACAAAACTGAGTTGACTTTGTACACATTTATTTTATTTTAAGAAAAGCTTTATTGATTTTATTTATGCTTACAGAACTGGGGTATAGGCCAGAAGAGGTGCAGGGGTGGTGAGAGGATTCACCAGACAAAGTGGGGATCAGAATAGGCAGCTTGACGAAATGCACTGCTGAGGGGAGCAATGGACGAGACAGGAGAGGTCTGCCATGCCATGTGGGTCACCTTCGGGGCTGATGATCAAACTTGCACTGAAGCGGCTGTGGCCAGCTTCCCAGTTCTGTGTCCTAACCTGTTGCACCCCCAGTGAGGGACTATACACATTTAGTAGGCAGCAGCATCCAGCTCTACAGCTGGCCACTAGAAACTTTAGCCTATCTTTACACACCACACCCATGTCCCCTCTCCATTCAATAGCCTTTCAAGGAGGACATCCTTGGTACCAGATCCTTTACTGGGCCTGAAGGTAATATGATGAGTCAAACATCATTCTTGCCTTTGGGGAATCACCTTTTCGTGGGAAAGATAAATATGACAACAAATAACCTCAGTCAAAGATGGAACTGATGTTCTAAGTAACAGTAAGAGCAACAGTAATGTTTCTTGGTTTTTGAGCTACATGGTTTAACTGACTTTATCACAACAATAATTTTATGGAGTAGGTACTATTATTATTCTATAACAGAAGAAACTAGGGCTCTGGGGGATGGTAACTGGGCTACCGTGACACAATTAGCAAATAGTCAGATCTTCAGGATTCTGGGGGGCTCATTTTAAGAGTCTGGAGGAGCAAGCTCAGGACATCTCAGCTTGCAGATGGGGTGGTGAGGTGGAAGATGGGCTCCAGGACAGCAGCAGGTTTGAGTGATGACTTGAAGGTTGAGGCCGTATGTTGGATGGAGAATGGCAAGAAATGCATTCTTGGCAAGAATTCATGGTAAGATGGAAAATCCTGAGTTATATAAAGCCTCTCTGCGCTATTGCTCTTGGCGGTATTTAGAAATGGTTTTCATGGAGGGCCTCTGCCTACACAGTGCTTGCTTGGGGTTCCTCAGGAGGACAGAGAGGGTCCTGGCTCTTTGGTATACCATCTACCTGTCCATCTTGTGGCTGGGGAGCTGGGTGAAGTCATGTTCAGACAGGCTCCAGGACCTTATCAGCAAGGCAGGGAAATGGCTTTAGAAACAAGCCCATCGGCTTCTCACTGAAATTAAGTCCTCTTTATAATTAATAGAACCCTGTCTGTGAACAATTATTTCCTAGAGTTTCACGAAAGCTGGAGTGCTCAACAACAAAGATCTCCGATGCTTGCCAAGGGCAGAAATCAATAATTCATTGACAGGCAGGGCTGGCAAACAGGCCATCAGAGACCCAGGCTCTGCAGGGTGGAGAAGAGACCCGGTTTGATGGGGGAGCTAAGCTGAGGGAATCAGCCCTAGGAGCTGCAAATGCTGTGGGCATCTGGGCAGGCTTGGGGGAGATGAGCGGGGGGAATACAGGGGTGGAGGCGCAGACTGAGGGTAGCAGGAGGGGGCAGGTATGTGGCCACACAGGCCTGGGTTTTCTTACTACCTTCAATGACTTTCCAGCCTAGTGTTTTAGGGCAAGTTTCTCGCTGAATTTCTTCTGTGAAATGGGGTAAATGGTTAACTCAAAGGGTTGCTGTTTCTTTCAAACATTTGTTTATTGAAAATAAGTTTTCCAGGCATCAACTATCTGGTGGGGCTGCTGGGTACTTAAATACGACTGTTCTTGACCTCTTAGGGCTCACAGTCTATCTAGTGGAGATGCAGCAAAGAAACAGGAATGAAGATGTGGTGAGGTAAGCGCTTTGAAAGAGGAAAATACAGGGCACCCCGAGTGTCAGCTGCAGAGTTGGAGCTGAGGCCAAAGGAATCATGGTGGACATGCACATTTCTAACAGAACCTGGGCTTATCAACCTGGTTTTCCTCCTCTGTCTTCTGTCCCCCTGGCCTGGCTCCCCTCAATGGTCTGGTGTCATCACTGCAGTCACTGGCAGAGTACAGAGAGTATAAGCTCAGTGGGAAGAAGAAATGAACAAATGGACGCCTGAAGTGAGGGAGTGGGAGAGACTTTCTAAGAACCTTCACAGATACACAGTGCCACGAGTCTTTGAAACTGGGAAGGAGAGCAAGTAAGATCTTCCTAAGCACCTAAAACATGCTTTTTTTTTTTTGAGCACTTCCAGACAGACCTGGGTTGGACTTCCAGCTCCTCTTCCTTGTTGTGTGGCACTGGGAAAGCCTCAGGGTTAAAGTCTACACAATGAGCAAAATAATACCAGGGGATGTTCGGGACTTAAGTAGAATATCCCCACAAGGCTGGGCAACTGGAGGTGCTCAGAAACATGGCAAGCACTTTTTAGAACACAACTTCCCCCTGGCACTTTTGTTCTGGGTGATAAGGGCGCATTGTTCTTATGAACTCCAAAGTCCGAGTAATGCAGCCCGTGGGGGTCTGTGGGCTGCTGCAGATGGCTTGCCAGGGGGAGGGACTGAGTATTATCACAACAGTTTCTGGTAGGTCTGGTGGGGGGACACATCATCAAAATCACCAATTTCCTGAAAAGCAGGAGGACCCACTCCTGTAACGTCTGAAAGGCCCTGAGAGCTGGGCAGCCATGTGTGTGAATTACCTTGCTGTTGTCCCACTCCTGAGTTTTCATCTGTGTGTGGATGAGCTCGTAGGATGGTTCCATGGCATCTGTGTCCGGTTTGGGGTAGCCAGGGATCACATTGTGCAACTGGAATCCAAAGGTGAGGAGCCAACTGTTGACATCTAGGTGGGAGGAAAGCAGAAATATCCCTATGGAGTAAGCAGACCTCAGAAGTCACCTATTCCGAGTGCAGCCTAGAGTCAGTCTGCAGGTGGGGGAGAGGATGGGCTGGGGGTTGGGGGAGAGCCAGCTGGCACAGTGCTTTGGGAGGTAGCCAAGGGCATCAGAGCCAAACACACTCCTGGGACCTAGCATCTGCCTGCTAGGCAAACTTAAGTGCAACCTCCTTTCCAGACTTCCCTTTCCCCTGGTACCTCCAACCCCCAGGACCTTCGATTTCAGTCCTGGGGGCAGTTGTGGCAGAGGAAGCCTCCCCCACAACCACCCCCAACATCAAGAAGAAATGGTGGCACAAGACGCCACATCCAAGGGAGAATTTTTTTTAATATAATAGTTTATTTTTACATCATTTTGTGCATTTATCCATCTCAGTTGTAATCCTCGGGGCTTCCCATCACCAAATCACTTGTGTGCCATCACCACAGTCCAGTGCATTTCCCTTCTCCCACTGTTTTTGATCCCATTCCCCACTCCATCCCCACAAAATGTCTCTGGCATATAGTTGTTCATTATTATTATTATTTTCTTCCCTGGTCTGTTATACTCCTGCTATGAGTGAAACCATCCAGTATTTTTCCTTCTTTCTGACTTATTTCACTCAGCATGATCTTTTCCAGCTCCATCCATGTTGCTGCAAAAGGCATGTGTTTATTTTTTTGGTTGCTGAGTAATATTCCATTGCATATATGTACCACAACTTTTTAATCTAGTCACCTACTTTTGGGCATCTGGGATGTTTCCATGTCTTTCCAATTGTAAATAAAGCAGCAATAAACACGGGGGTGCAGGTTATCTTTTTGAATCAGTGTTTTTGTGTCTTTAGGGTAGATACCTAGGAGTAGGATTGCTGGGTCATAGGGAAGCTCCATCTTTAGCAGTTTGAGGAACTTCCAAACAGTTTTCCATAGTGGTTATACTCGTTTGCATTCCCACCAGCAAGGCAGGAGAGTTCCTTTTTCTCCGAGGGAGATTTTTATGATTGATTTTTTTAAAAAAATATTTATTTACACATACAAGAACTGGGGTACAGGTCAGAGGTGTTGGGGTTGAGAGGATTCACCAGAGACAGATCAGGGAGCAGAACAGGCAGACTGACAAAGTATACTGCTGAGGGGAGCAGGAGAGAAGAGTTCTGCTGAGCCATATGGGTCACCTCCCAGGGTGGGAACTGAACTTATGCAGTGGCTGTGGATAGCTTCATAGT